CCACAGGTTGTTTCTATTGTAGGTGCTATTTCAGTTTGTATGTCTCTTAGGTATAAAAACTGTGTATGTTCCCTCAAGTCAGTAAAGTTCCTGGTGCCTCAAATTTTCCAAGTAAAAAACTCCTTGGAACATTGAGAAAATGTGTCATTATTCTTTAAGAATAGTACATTACAGCTTTAGGGAAGAATGTATAGCTATTTGGTTTAAAAAAAAATTGTGATGTCTCTAGTTGAGAATTTCTTTTTTAGTATAAAACAGCAACCATTCAGTTTCATAATAGTGCTGCTACTTACAAAGACAGCAACAGGATAGGGAGATAGCCTTGCAGGGAGATGGATGTTTTATATTAAGCGGTCTTGTTTTTAGCAAATTGGCATTGACTATTGCTTATAACAGTATTTATTTTCTTCTCTCCAGTTTAGAGAATTTACTACTCCCAAGTGGACACAAAAAACGCAATATATAATATAGACTTACCACTACTGGAAGCATCATTGAGATTGAGCAGTCCCCCTCCTAGCCCTCTGTAACTGTGGTAACTGTACGTTCCATTTCCGTTGATGTACAACACCTCCTGTGAACCTGAAACTGCTGAGGTTGAGTAAGTGGCCTGGGTCGCCTCTAGTTTACACTGTTTGTCACCTGGAGCCGACTCGTCCTGCAATGACAACAACATTCCATGATTTACCACATCCCTTTGCTATTTCACCTAGAACAGAACTATCTTATTGGCTATCTACGTGTCTGCATTGAATACAGAAAAAATATAGATGCTAGTCAGTATTAAGTCAGTGCACATTTTTAATAATTTGCTAAAAACTAAAACAGGAAAGCAAAGTAATAATATAAGACATGTGGGAGGTGGAGCAATTTTCAATTTCCAACTGAATTTAAAATTATATGAAGAGAGCTGTTTACAATAGCCAAAAAATGGAAGCAGCCTACATGTACATTGATGAATGAATAGAAATATGGGATACAAATACAACGGAATTATTCAACGTTAAGAAAAGAGGGAAATCCTGTCA